GGACCACGCCTCTGTGTATTTACTCCTTTTTTTTTTTTTTAAAGATTTTTATTTATTTATTTGACAAAGAGAGACACAGTGAGAGGGAACACAAGCAGGGGGAGTGGGAGAGAGAGAAGCAGGCTCCCTGCGGAGCAGGGAGCCCAATGCGGGGCTCAATCCCAGGACCCCGGGATCATGACCTGAGCCGAAGGCAGACGCTTAACGACTGAGCCACCCAGGCGCCCCTGTGTATTTACTTCTTAAGAGAGAGATCTTTCTTGGAGGCACCCTAGTGCACTTTTCACATTTCACTAGTCCTGATTAGATCAGTGGGTGTTTTTTTTTCCATTTGCTGACAAAAGGAATGGTAGAATCATGATCAGCTTGCACTAATCATTGTGGGGGGCAATAAATATTGAAGTCAACTGCTTGTAACCCTCCTTCCTCCCCAAGTAGAGAAGAAAATATGCTTATACTGTGAAGATGGGGTTGTTCCAAATCCACCGAGAAGGACTCAATTGTCATTTAATTCATGGTGTGAGCCAGTAATTGCTGTTTATTCTGTGTTTGTGTGCAGAGGGGAAGGAGCCACCTCATGGAGAATATAATATCCACCATCCAAAGATTCTGTCGTCCTTCTAAGTTGACTTAAGGCATGTTATCCAGGGGTCAGAAGTGAGATGCAGGGTTGGTCAAGGAACAGAGTTAAATGCAGAATGACTGGTAGACGTTTGTGAATTTTATTCACTGGTGCTGGGCTCAAGTAGCAGGCCGTGATTCTATTTTCTGGGTTGTCTAATGCAAACCTGGACCGCATGCTACCCTGTGATATATGGCACCGAGGGGCTAGAACCCACTGGCATAAGGTAGGGGAAGAGATTCAAAACTTCTGAACATGAGAATACTGTGTTGGCTCCCATGAGCATCCACTCACTCACTCCCTAACTTTGCCTTCCAAAGAAATTTAAGTGTCTGTCCTGTAACCTTTGCCTCAAGAAACTAGTGGGTGAATGAAGCATCAGACGCTTTCAAAAGCACTTTGGCTAGCTGTTCTCTCCAGACGAGGATGCCGGTGAAAAGTAGGTGCCATTAAATTGGGCTGTCTGGTTTGTAGCGTGTTGGACAGAGGCAAGAATAGAGTCTAGGTGGTAGCAGTTAACATCAGCAGCAAAGTGGGTATTGTTACCATAACAGACATCTGGGAGTGTTCCGCCATGCTGTTATGCACTGAATTGTGTGTCCCCCCCTTAACCTCTTAAATTCATATGTTGAAGCCCTAACTACCAAGGGGACTATATTTGGAGATAGGAACTTCAAGGAGGTAATTAAGGTTAAGTGAGGTCATAAGGTTGCGGCCCTAATCCTGTAGGACTGGTGTCCTTATAAGAAGAGGAAGAGACACCAGAGATCTCTCTCTACACACACATAAACAAAAGTCACATAAGGACACAGTGAGAAGGCAGCCATCCACAAGACAGTGTTGGGGAGGAAGAATTTTCCTCTCCTTCAAGGGTCCTTCTAGATGGATTAAGAATCAAATTAATAAGAGACAGATTAACAGGAGAAAAATCAAATTTAATAGCATACATACAGGGAATCCACATAGACATGGAAATGCCAAAGACAGTCAGGTGAAATGAGGTCTATGTGTCATCCTGAACTAAGCAGAAGAGGGTAGAGGTCTGGGACTTCAGAGGAAAGGAATGCACTTCATGGGGTGATAAGAAGAGCAGATATTGGTAATTAGATGTTTGGCCTGCCATCCAGATGGGTCACTCAGATAAAATGTATCTTTGGTAATAACCCTTATTCTGGGAAAGACCCCCAAGTTAGAGTCTATGTAGTTAAAGGAGGGGCAAAAATTTCTCTTGAGCCCACAGGGTCTCTGCTGCCTTCAGCTCAAAATAATCTCACACCAGAGTGGCCCATCTTGGGGCGGCCTTCCTTCAGTTCCTCCAACACAAAGAGAGGCCTCACCAGAAGCCAACTCTGCTGGCACCTTGGTCTTGGACTTCAGTCTCCAAAACTAGGAGAAAATAGATGTCTGCTGCTTAAGCTATGGGAGATGGTCCTGGTGTATTGTCATGGCAGCCCAAACAGACTACCACACATACAGAGATCTCTGACTCCGGAGAATTAAGCTTGGTGTCCCCAGGAATGAAATCTATAGACAATCCACCAAGGCCTTAGCTGATCTGTATAACCAGAAAGATTCTTAGGTCTGGCCAACAGAGGTGTCAAACATTTGAGTCACCATACCAGCCTAACAGCTAGAGGAATCGCTCCCATACGGTTCCCAGGCACGAATCATCAATACCACAGACCCAGAGTCCTTAGGATGGGGAGACAGGTAAACCTGAGCGAGAAATTTGCTATCACACTTGTGAACCTTCCCCTTGGCCTTGCCCTGAAAGCACCTCTGCCCATCGACTTTGGCAACTTGCAACTGGGAGCGGGACCACCCCAAAGCTTTCGGAGGCTAATTGTAAAGTGCCTTTCCATCCATGCTACTGCCAAGAGACCCAGAACACCCTTGCGGGAGTACCTACCACAGAGTAGAGGGGGTGCCAAAAGAGTTCAGGGGAAAATGGAGTTCTTCCCTGAGTCTGCCACTCAGTAGGCCCGGTGAGACCCTGAGCCCCTCCTCTGGGAATGATTCTACCAGTTCCTGGGTAGACTGAGCATCGGGCAGCATCTGCACCTGGCTTAGAGTATGTACCTTCTGTCACTGTTGTTGATGTTCAGCCTCTGGGTGCGCCCCCCGCCCCCCAATGTGGCTGTGAACCCCTCAGAGGGGGGACATCTGACTGCCTATTTAATTAATTAATTAATTTATTTATTTTAAAGATTTTATTTATTTATTTGACAGAGAGAGACAGCAAGAGAGGGAACACAAGAGGGGACTGGGAGAGGGAGAAGCAGGCTTCCGGCGGAGCAGGGGAGCCCGATGCGGGGCTCGATCTCAGGACCCTGGGATCATGACCTGAGCCGAAGGCAGTCGCTTAACCAACTGAGCCACCCAGGCACCCCTGTTTATTTATTTATTTAAGTGAGCTTGAACTCACAACCTTGAGATCAAGAGTCACATGCCCTACTGACTGAGCCAGCCAGGCGCCGCTGGGTGCCCTTTGAAATCCACCAGACCAAGTCCCCAATCCCCTGTCCATCCAGGTGGTCCTCAGCTGGCTGGTAGCTGCCAGGACTACCCTGAGGTTCTGTTGGTTCCTCTGAGCTCTGTGCTGCAACACAGGGTGTCCCAGAAAGCACTGAAGTTATCTTCTGCGCCGTCTGAGGGTTGCCGAGAGGCATGGAGTGGGAGGCTGCCCCCACTCTTTTCTTCCTATTCACCCTGTGGGTACAGGCTGCCCCAGCGAGCCTCCTGACTTCAGAAATCTGCAGCCGACCAGCATCCGCCACATTGGCTCCCTCGCTCCCGGAGAAGGGGGGATAGGGTAAGAAGGGGCAAATGGAATCAATTAGGGCTCCCTCACCTTATCAACAGAGGAAGTAAAACGTGATAACGAATCCTTAGGGGAACTGCAGAGATTTTTTGCCACCATCCAAGACCTGAAAAATGGAGATGTTAGCCCTACCACACACAGGCTAATGTGGACCCACAGCTAAAACAGGCTCCCCAGCTGGGGTCGGCTCCCGTGCTAGGAAGTCTGGACCTTGGCCTTTATCATCTGGCAGATGCAACAGTGCCTCAAATGTTTGGGGTAAATCAGGATGCTATATGGAGCCTGTGGTGAGCCCTGATAGGAGAATCATGGCAGAGACTGCTAAGATGTAATAAATAATACGAACCAGCAACCAATATATAGTGCCAAGATTTGCAAGTCTGGGAACAAGGGGTGGGAATAAAGGAAGTGCTTCTCATCATTGCACCTGACCCATCTGCAACAGTTTTACTTCTCGTTCCTGCTAATCTACTGGTTAGAGTCACTCAAGACAGGCGATCACGGTGTTCATGCTATGGAATGAGGACAAGCAGGAATATGGACGAGACGCAGGAGATCCCCTAAGGTGCCTTCTTCACTACAAGCTCGGGGGGCACACGACAGAGTATTGCAACCCTACAAAGGACCATCAAGGCCTCAGACTCTCCAGGAATAAAGACCTGAGCGTCCCCAGTAAGAAAAGCAAAAAGAACGTGGGGTTGATAGAGAAATCGTAAGCGACAGAACCACCTCAAGGCTTTTGCAGAAATCAGGACTGTACCCTCTACCTGTGTTTCCCTGCTGATTGTTTGTTTGCTTTTTCAATTCTCTCACCTCTTCTTTAGTACTGTAAAGGGGATAGTGTGGTGTGATGAATTCACCATTTAGGTCATGGTATTGCAGAATGTCAATATCAAATTGGGATAATGGCAGAGCTAGCGAAATAAGGGTCATCAGCAGGAGAACTTGAACTATAAACAGAGGCCCCAACACTGCACCCCCAACTAGGATAGCTAGGAATGTTCGTATGCATAGTTCTTGGTTGTATGTCGAATAATTAAGTTATGCTAGGAGGGAGCATTTTTAGAATCCTATGAATGGAAGAAGGGTGTTTGTACGTGCTAGGAATTTAAGGAGTACAAGGCTATTGCTCCCTACATTTCTTTTCTATCTACTTAACATCCCCACCTTTGGGGAACTGCCGAAAATCACCAGGATTCCCTACTCCAGGCCACAGCAGTATTTGGGGTAGAAATACAGGTGATGGAAAGACATTAGCATCCAGTAAAGCCCCGGAATACTGGATATCCTCGCTTGTCCTGGAGCTTCCACCTTTGAAGACTTTGGTTGCCTTGCCCAGCATCATTCAGATTCTTTGGTTCAACAAAATATTTGGCTTATGAACCTGACCTCCAGGTCCTCAAGCCATTTTCAGGAAGGATTTGCAGTGAAGCTCTCAGATTTGAAGTAAAAACACCCAAAGGGGGACTTCTGGTAAGTCATGTCTTGAAAGACAATGTTTACAAGTCTCCCACCACCTCCACCCCTACTCTGGGGACAAGGAGTCTGGAGAATCTCTTTGCGTTGCTGGAGAAAGGTGTCAATGCCGGTAGTCATTCAGGTGACCAGAACCAGTCTGAGTCTGAAGGCAGTCACAGAACCGTGTCCAAGGAAGGGAGTCAGGGGTCACAACAGAAAGCCCAGGGGTAGGAAGTCCAGGGTCTGGAATCTGCATTTGCATCTGTAACATCAGACGTTTGGTGGTATCAGGACAGGCCCTGGAAGGGGGAAATGATAGAGTCAAGGTAGAAAATATTTAGCATGGACGAGAGGAGCTCCTTCCCGAGGATTGCATAGGAGAGTGTGAGTTAAAGGATATCTTCTATTTAGATCAATAGAAGGTCGTGTTAGCCATGCTCAAGAGAACTATATCTAACTACAATAAGTCAATGTAAAAGTTGCCAGAGATATTCAGCTCTCGAAGGGCAGATGAGCATGGAAGAGAACAGGTTAATCAATCTGAGGATGCTGTAGTTACACTGCTGTCTTTTGTGTTTTGGCGGGTTTTTTTTGGCTGTGGGGTGAGAGAAATTATCCCTGCGGTATGATTTGAAAAGTGAAACACAAAACCAAAAGCCTCGTGCTCTTTGCATGTTACAACTTTTAAACTGGGGCGCCTGGGTGGCTCAGATGGTTAAGCGTCTGCCTTCGGCTCAGGTCATGATCCCAGGGTCCTGGGATCGAGTCCCGCATCGGGCTCTCTGCTCCTTGGGAGCCTGCTTCTCCCTCTGCCTCTCTCTCTCTCTCTCATGAATAAATAAATAAAAATCTTAAAAAAAAAAAAAAACAACTTTTAAACTGTAACTGTTTAGAAATGTGTGTATTTGGTCTTTGTTCATGGGCAAGAAGATGTGTTTTCTGAGAAGAAAGTGGTGTTTAATTAGTTACAATTTCCACATTAAAACCAATTTGCTTTTATCTGAGTGTTTGCTATAAAGAATGCTTTTAATATTTCCTTAAAATGAGTTTCCTTGGTTAGAATTCAAATCCTCTGTAAGTGGCTAAGCTCCATCTGACCTTCAGTTGTGTGACCCCCGTAACTCTAGATGGGGCTTCCAGGAATGGAGGGCCTAGCTCAGCTTTCCCCAAATTCCAGCATCTGTGGCACCCACTGGATAGTGAATCTTACACCAAAAATGTAAAGGTCTCACAATTTAAGCAATAAAAACATGATTAAAAACTAATCATCAGGGGCGCCTGGGTGGCTCAGTCGTTAAGCGTCTGCCTTCGGCTTAGGTCATGATCCCAGAGTCCTGGGATCGAGCCCCGCATCCAGCTCCCTGTTCCACGGGGAGCCTGCTTCTCCCTCTCCCACTCTCCCTGCTTGTGTTCCCTCTCTCGCGGTCTCTCTGTCAAATAAAATCTTTAAAAAACTAAACTAAACTAAACTAATCATCACAATGAAGGCCTCATATTAGTAAGAATGATATTGTTCAAAGTATTTCATCAGCCTGCCACTATACTCCTCTGTGCTTGTCTCCTGTCCTGAAAACTGTGGATAAGAACAGCTCCTATCTCTGGGTTGTTGCCAGGATTAAATGAGATGATGTATATAAAGTACTTAGAACATCTCACGGCTTATCCTAAGAGTGCAATAATGTTTCCAAGTATTCTTTTTTTTTTTTTTAAAGATTCCATTTATTTATTTGAGAGAGACAGAGAGGGAGAGAGAGCACAAGGAGAGAGCAGAGGGAGGGGAGAGCTGAGCAGGGAGCCCAATGTGGGGTTGGATCCCAGGACCCGGGGATCATGACCTGAGCCGAAGGCAGGCGCCAAACCAACGGAGCCATCCGGACACCCTGTTTCCAAGTATCCTCATACCCTATCACTAAGTGGAGTGTACAAATGTATATACATGTATACATCTGTGTGTGTGTGTGTGTGTGTCCCTCTGGCTCAATCACAAGCCATTTGTGAGGTGACTTCCCATCTATTAGATTCATTCCACTTTGATAAAATAGAATTCCTTATTTTTAATGGCTACACAGTACTCCATTATATAGTTATACTTTATTTTTATTAAACCAAGCTCCTACTGGGGTGCCTGGGTGGCTCAGTCGTTAAGCGTCTGCCTCCGGCTCAGATCATGGTCCCAGGGTCCTGGGATCGAGCCCCGCATCGGGCTCCCTGCTCGGCGGGAAGCCCGCTTCTCCCTCTCCCACTCCCCCTGCTTGTGTTCCCTCTCTCGCTGTGTCTTTCTCTGTCAAATAAATAAATAAAATCTTTTAAAAAATAATAAATAAATAAACCAAGCTCCTACTGTTGGGGAGGAAGTTCCTCTGCCCTTCAAGGTCCTTCTTGCCGGAATAAGACTCAAATTGACATGAGATAGATTAACAGAAAATCAAATTTAATAGCGGACCTATGGGGTATCCACAGACAGGAGATTGCAGAAACAGTGAGGCAACATGAGGCTTAGAGGAGCTAAAGAGAAGGGTAGGGTCTGAAAATAAAAGGGGAGAAAGACCATTAGCAGGAAGGGGAGAGGAGATGTTTGGAAAACAAAGGTCGCCTTGGTATGCAGATAAATTTTTTTAGGTAAAGAGGAATCTCAGGAGCGCCTGGGTGGCTCAGTCGGTGAAGGTGAAGCGTCTGCCTTCCGCTCAGATCATGATCTCAGGGTCCTGGGATGGAGCCCCGAGTAGGGGGCTCCCTGCTCAGTGGGGAGTCTGCTTCTCCCTCTGCCTCCGCCCCTCCCCTGCCTCGTACTCTCTCTCATTCTCTCAAATTAATAAAATCTTAAAAAAAAAGTGGGGGGGGATCTGTTTCAAGCTTTCTTCCTGGTACAGACAGGCAGTTGAGGGGGAGGTAAAGAGCTTTCCTGGCATCTGCTGGGTTCTGACTGCTTTTGGCTCAAAGTAGCAGTCATACCAAAGCAGCCATCTTGGGGCGGCCTGCCCTGCACCCCTACACTAATGTGGGACATTTAATTTATTCCACCGGCTTGCTATTACGACCGATAGTAAAATGTAAGCACCTCGTCTAAACATCTTGAGGCACTCGTCGAAGTGTCCATCAATGTTCTATCTGATCTCACTTATACGTGGAATGGAAAAAAGCCAAACCCACAGAAACAGTAGGATGGTCGTTACCACGGGGCTGGGGGCAGTGAGGAGATGTTGGCCCAAGAGTACAAACTCCCAGTGAGAAGACAAATAAACGTTAGGGATTTAAGACACAGCACTGTGATCATAGTTAATATTCTATCATACACTTGAAAGTTGCTAAGAGAGGAATCTTGAATGTTTTCACCACAAAAAAAACAGTAATTATGTGACGTGACCAAGAGTCAGCTTAGGCTGGGGGCAATCACATTGTAGTGTAGAAGTGTATCAAACCCAACACACTGGGCAGCTTACATTTACACGAGGTTACATGTCGCTTATGCCTCGATAAACCTGGAAAACAGTTTTGAAAAATTGCAAGTATTTTATAAAATAAATCTTTTTTTTTTTTTAACCTTAACTATATCGCCGCAGGAATTTGCTCATGCAGTTTCAGAGAGTGAGGAAGCTCTGGGCTACCTGAAGATGACTGGCCATTTTTATTTTTAAAGCTTTTCCTTGGGTTCTAAAGTTTGCATGGAAAGCAAGGAAATCCTATATGGTGGGATCATTCAGGAACATTTTAGGGTACGCAGAAAGGAAGGTGCAATCTCCCTGGCCTTCTGTGCCCATCCCCAGCTCCCCCTCCCCCAAATGTCCTTCTAATTGCAATCAATTCAGTTTTTACTAAGTTTTACTTTTTAATGAACGCAATACATACATAGTTTAAAAAAAAATCCAATAGTGAAAAAAAAAGGCATATAATGAAAAGTAGTAAATCCCTGCCCATCCTGCTCAACTTAGGGAACTAAGCCAGAGGCAAAAACGTTTACACCTGTCTGTCTAGTGGTTAGCTCCTTTCTTCCTTAAGAATATGCTTTTATTACTACTTTTTTGACTTGATAACATAAGGAATTTTGACTTCCCGCTGTCCCAGCACCCCCCTCCCCCCTCACTATGGCTGAATCACTATTTTTAATTCCCCCGGTGGCTACCTTGTTCGCTTAATAATACGATCCCTAAACTTGCCTTATTCTTTCAACTAGAGCCAGAATCTGGACTTTCTGCTTCCCGAGAATAACGCCACCGCTCCATTTCCTCCTCTCTGCCTGTCCACTTGTTGCCCGGACTGCGCACTGTCCAAGCGGCTAACCTTCCCATCCAGTTCTAGCCCCGTTACGAATGAAGTCTTCCCTGCTCAGCTGACAGATTTGGTCTAAGAACGGAAAACCGTAACTTCTTTTTCCATCGGAATGATTATTGAAATAAGGTTCGCTGAAGAGCCGAGCTGCACGGGATGACTGGTCGGTCTCCTCTCCGAGCGCTGCACGTGCCGATCGGTTTTCGAGCCGATTCCCTTTCTCCCACTCCTGGCAGCTGTTCAAACCCGGCCCGGTCTGAGGCAGCTTCCTGATCGAAGCCTGCTTTCCTTGTCCAGTTTGAAATGTTTGTTTTGCGCCGTAGTGTTTCTGTTCGCCACTGACCTGGCTTTGGGGATGAGGCCGTGTATGCCTTCCAGATCCTGTTGTTAATTTCCCCCGGCTTCCAACGCAGTCCAGCTCATGGCTTGGAATTCAGTCCATATTCTGTTGGAAGTCTGTTCGCATCTTACTCTAACTTGGAAGATTTCCTTGCCCAATTGGACCGTCGTTGTGCAGTTAGTTTACGTCTGGGTCGTTAGTAACCTCTCCTCTGGTTTTCCCCCTTCGGGCATCCTGAGACCACCGTCGCTTCCTCCCGTTCGGGCTGTTGTGTGTTTCACGGCTGCAAGAACGTCTCAGGTATTTCTGAGGATCTTCGGAGTTTAAAGTTCTTTCCTGTTCCTTGAACTATTTCCTAGAGAATCACCCTTTCGCTCAGTCTTCGGCTTTTTTGGTTATACAGTAGGCTTTCCGCAAATGAGGTTTTCTAGCCGCCCATGTACATGGAAAGAGAAGGCCGTGGAAAGGCAGCCGGGCGAGTCTGCGCGCGCGAGCCTACTGGCCGCTGTGCTCTAGAGCGGGGGAGCCGCGGGGTGGAAGCCAGCCATCCTTCGGGGACCCCCGAACGCCACAAAGTTACTTGCTCTAAATATGTACCTGCAGGCGGACGTTGAGGATCACCGAGGCCACCACGTAGAAGTAGGGGAAGTTCGTGCGCAGCCGCCAGGCCAGGTCGAAGAAGGTGATCAGCGTGCGCGTGAGCCCCTTGCAGAAGGCGCCGTACGAGCCGCGGGCCGCCGCCGAGCGCGACAGCCGCACCCCCAGGGCCGACAGGGCCGCCGCCGTCGCCGCCGCCGCCGCCATCGGTCTGATGTCGCCTCCCACACGGTGCCGGCAGCTCAGCGCTTCCAGCCGGCCGCGCCGACCCACCGATCGACGGACCGAGAGATGCGCGCGGAGGGCAATCGGCGCGGGGGGCCCACTGGGCGGCCTCCGATGCCCGCCGCGCTGCACCGCGAACGCCCTCCTTCCCGGCCGCGGCGATCTGCGATCGCTGGTGCTCCGCGGGGGCCGCCAGACTGAGCTGCCTCGGGGTGGGCGGGGCGCCGGAGACCGCGAGCCCCTGGACCGGGAAGGGACGGGGACGGGGGGGCGGGGACCCGAGGCGGGGGGGGGAGGGGCACGTGGCTTTCCCGGGAGACCCAGCTTCCTCCTCCCGGTGGTCCTCCTTCTTCTTTTTTAATGTTTTAAATTTTAACGGAACCAGAACGAAACTTGCACAAAACGTAGGAAGAGTTCTTTCGTAAACATGATCTTGAATATCTTAGAAGTGTGAACGCGTTTCCTGTTGCCTCAAATCCCTTTAGGAATTTTTCCAGTCCTCAACTGTGAGCTAGTGCGAACACACAAAACCTATTCATGTTCTCAACTGTAAAATGTGTGCCTTCTGCTTTAATGATTCAAGCGGCTTTGGAGATTTGGTTTTACATCTCTAGTACTCTTCTAATGGGAAAAGTTATACAGACAAGTTGTTAGACATTTTCAACCGCACAATTAGAACAATGGGAAGCAGATTCCCTGCTTAGTTTCACATTCCTCACCCCGCCCCCGCCACGAACTACCATTCTGTTTTCTGTGTATACTTTCAGACTTGGTATGTTTCACATACAGTGCTCTTACCGTGTCAGTAATATATAACTACCTCACTCTCTTGGACGACTGATCACTACCCTAACATGTATGTTGATGTTCAATCATTTATTTAACCAGTTCTCTATTGATGAACATTCTGAATGTTTGCAGTTTTTCTTATGCCAAACATTATTGCAGAGAACATCGCTGTACGCATGAATTTTCAAGTGGCAGAAAAGAATGAGGAATATAATCCTGGTTTTATTTATAAAAAAACATATAAACATATTTAGTGTTTGAGGTCAAAAAAGTTTTACTTTTTAATACATGTGGTTGATCAAAAAAGTTTTGAGACTAGGGCTGAATACAACATTGAGTGTTAATCTTGGAATTTTTTCACCAATATGAAAGGCAATAATTACGACTCCTTACTCCTCTAATTTGCATTCATTTTAATTATCAGTGAAGCTGAGCAACTTTTCTAAATTTCTTAATATTTCAATATTATTTTGAAAGACTATTAACAGATTGGTATATGTTTTTATCAATTATTTACATATATTAATAAGGCATATATACATACATGACACACAAGTCACAAAACAAAAAATGGAATCATAGACATACTGCCCTGACAATTGCTTTTCTTTTTAGATTTTATTTATTTAATTTAATTTCTATTTTTCCCATTTTTTAATTTAAATTCAGTTAATTAACATAAAATGTATTATTGGTTGGATTTTATTTACCTTAGAGAGAGCGAGCGAGTGAGCAGGGGGAGGAGCAGAGGGAGAGAGACAAGCAGAACCCTACACAGGGCTTGATCCCATGACCCCGAGATCATGACCCCAGCTGAAACCCAGAACTGGCCACTTAACCGACTGAGCCAACCAGGCGCCCCTGACAATTGCTCTTTTTTTTTTTTTTTAAGATTTTATTTATTTGAGAGAGAGAGAATGAGAGAGAGAGAGCACATGAGAGGGGGGAGGGTCAGAGGGAGAAGCAGGTTCCTTGCTGAGCAGAGAGCCCGATGCGGGACTCGATCCCGGGACTCCAGGATCATGACCTGAGCCGAAGGCAGTCGCTTAACCAACTGAGCCACCCAGGCGCCCCCCCCCCTTTTTTTTTTAAGATTTTATTTATTTATTTGAGAGAGAGAGAGCACAGGGGGAGAGTGAGAGGGAGAAGCAGACTGCCTGCTGAGCAGGGAGCCCGACTCTACTCGGGGCTCCATCTCAGGACCCCGAGATCATGACCCGAGCCAAAGGCAGACGTTTAACCGACTGAGCCACCCAGGTGCGCCCCCGCTTTTTTATTAACGATTTTTATTTATTTATTTGACAGAGAGACAGCGCGCACAAGCAGGGTGAGCTGCAGGCAGAGGGAGAGGGAGAAGCAGACTCCTCACTGAGCAGAGAGCCTGATGGGGCCAGTCCAATCCCAGACCTGAGATCATGACCTGAGCTTAAGGCAGATGCTCAACCAACTGAGCCACCCAGGCGCCCTGACCGTTGCTTTTAAACAATATATCTTGCCTATCTTTTCATGTTGATACCTTATGGGCTGCGTATTATTCCTTATGGATGGCCAATAATTAACTGATGCATATTTGGATGGTTTCAATTTTTTCACGAGCATAAACAATGTAGAGATTTTTTTAAAAGATTTTATTTATTTATTTGACAGAGAGAGAGACAGCGAGAGAGGGAACACAAGCAGGGGGAGCCGGAGAGGGAGAAGCAGGCTTCCCGCGGAGCAAGGAGCCCGATGCGGGGCTCGATCCCAGGAACCTGGGATCATGACCTGAGCCAAAGGCAGACGCTTAACGACTGAGCCACCCAGGTGCCCCAATGTAGAGATTAATATCTTTGCGTGCATATCTTTGTAGGCTTCTCTGATATTTCCCTGGGATACATTCTGAGAGGTGGAATTCTGGAATCAGAAGACTTTCATCTGGGGTGCCTGGCTCACTCAGTCGGTAGACCATGCAACTCTTTTTTTTTTTTTTTTAAAGATTTTATTTATTCATTTGAGACACAGAGATACAGAGAGAGAGAGAGAGAGAGCGTGAGCAGGGAGAGAGGCAGAGGGAGAGGGAGAAGCAGGCTCCCCGCTGAGCCAGGAGCCCGAGGCGGGGCTCGATCCCGGGACCCTGGGATCATGACCTGAGCCGAAGGCAGACGCTTAACCATCTGAGCCACCCAGGCGCCCGACCATGCAACTCTTGATCTCGGGGTTGTGAGTTTGAGCCCCACGTTGGGTGTAGAGATTATTTAAAAATAAAATCTTAAAATAAAAAGGATTTCATCTGTTTATGGATTTTGGTACATGTTAGAACTGCCTTCCACACAGCTTGTACTAATGTATCCAAGAACACTTTCAACTTTCCTAATAATGGGCATTGATTTTCTTTTAAATCCTTGACATTCTGATAGCTCAAAGGATATCCTACTGTTTTAAGTTGCATATTGTGATTACTAGCAAGGTTAGACGTTATATGTGCATATATCTTTGCATGTTTGTATGAAAGGAGTTACTGTCTCAAAGTTTTGCAGTCTAATTTTTTAAAAAAATAGACTCTATGCCCAGTGGGGAGCCCAACGCGGGGCTTGAACTCACCACCCTGAGATCAAGACCTGAGCCGAAATCAAGAGTGGGGCGCTTAACCAACTGAGCCACCCAGGCACCCCTGCTGTCTTAATTTTAATCAGTATTTCCAATTCCCCAGTAAAAAGGTTGTAAGGATGAACACACAGGCTAACGGGTCCTGGAGCCCCCAGGGGCAGTGGTGACAGTGAGGAAGGAGATAGTTAGGCAGGTTTCTCCTCTCCTCCCCTATCTCCCTGCCCTTCAGGCTGCCCAGGTCCTGGCCCCTTTCCTTATTTTTATATTCCAATTTTTGCCTGAGGCGGGCAGAACAGCATAAACAGCCGGAAAATGATAAAATCTTAACCATGGCCTTGGGAGAAGCCAAAGTAGACAAAATAGCCTACAGTGACGCATTAAGCAAAGGAAATGCCTCCTCCCTCACATCACACATTGACTATAAACAGCAATAGGCCAAAATTATTGTCTTTAGGAAATTGTACAAGTCTCCTGGCTCTTCTTTCCCATGATAGAGTGCATATACCTTAATTCTTCTATCTGCTATCACCCACTCTTAATACATATGGGAGGAATACATTTTTTAAACTGCTATATTGGTCTAGAGATAATAGATTTAAATTTAATCAGAGGCTTTTGTAGTAGGAGACACTGAATGGAACACAGGTGTTTACCTTTCCAAATCAAATAGAAACAATTAGCAGTGCAGAGTAAATTCATTCATAAAATTAGTGGAAGGGGTGAGGATAAAGGATCAAGAGTTGGAGAAATTCACTGAATGAATGCAGATGGGCTCCATCTGAAAATCATTCGGGACCAGCAAATCTCAGGCAAAGCGTGGATGGGGCAGGAGCAAAAGCCGGTTTCGTGGAGGAAGCACCCCGACTCTCCAGGTATGGAGAGTGGAAGTGGGAGGATGGCATCAAAGGAGCTGGTTATTTAAAATCTACTTGAGGGGTGCCTGGGTGACTCAGTCGGTTAAGCGTTGGTTTCAGCTCAGGCCGTGATCTCAGGGTCATGAGACCGAGTCCCACATTGGGCTCCGCACTTAGGACGGAGTCTGCTTGTCCCTCTCCCTCTGCTCCTCCACGCCCCCCCACCCCACGCACTCTCTCTCAAATAGACAAAGTCTTTAAAAAAATAAAATAAAATCTATTTGACAAATGGCTCAATAAAGTGCATTTCCACCATCGCCCCCAAACCCCACCTAGTTATCTCCCGGATGAAAATGGACAGTGTTTCTCTAAAGAAATTGGGTGATGTGCTTGAAAGGGAGAGGGCTCTAGAAAGGGGGGGGGGGGGGATGGAATTGGTGCCTGTGGTAGAGTGACATTTGTAGTGACAAATGTTTCCCCTCCTTGAATCCTGAACTTTGCATGGACTTTGCAGATCTTCTCATGAAGAGGTGGTCTGTTTCTTTTCTCTTGAATCTGCCGTATGACTTGCTTTGGTCAATAGGACATTGGCAAAAATAGTGCAGCCTCGAGCAGGGAAGGTGCTTATGCATTGGGGCCTGGACTCTTGCTAGTCTTGGAAGCCCGCTGCCCGCATGTGAACAAAGCAGATGAGACTTATGCCCCAATCATCCCTGTAGCCCCAGCTGATGGCCAGCCCACTCCTAGAGGTCCTGTCACCCAGGTCACCAGCAGCATCTGACCACAGACACGTGAGAGTCCAGCTGACACAAGCAGGATGGCCCAGCCCAAGCTGCCAAAGGCCAACAACTGTTAATTAAATAAATGGCTGTTGTTTTAAGCCTCTGAGCTTCGAGGGGTTTGTTTCACAGCAAAAGCTAGCTGATAACCATGCCCCAGAAGAGAGCTACTGGGGAGAGTGGCAATCAAAGCGGGTTGGTCAACAGT